CCTGTATGTGTGTGTGTGTATGTGCATATATCCCCCTCCCCTTCAGCAGATACTGAAGATACTAGTATGTGCTTATGCAACCCTGATGAAGGCTATTATGACTTGCATTACTTTAGCAGAGATCTTGTATAAGTGGAGCGAAGCTCTGATAATAGTGCCTCACCTAACTTAATGCATCGCTGTCCTTCCCCCACAGCCTTGTAATTGCGTCAAGAAATCTCCCTGACCATTAAGAATAGCTAGTTTTTTCTGTTATTCAAGCACTTCCAGAGTGTGTCCTTATAGCTAGACTATCCCAGCAGTCTGCTTTCAAGACATGGGTCCCCCTAGTTGAGGAACTGGTAAATGCATTTGATTTAGGGTGTATGTGAGGTTTTCCCAAGACTCCAATTGGAATTGCTGCATCAGATGCATCCAAACTCATGTCTAGGAAACTGTAACCGTTTCCTGTAAATTTCACCCAAATCTTATCAATAACCGATAAGAGTGACTATAAACATTTCCGAGCACAACTGGGATTGAGTGCATGCTGGGAAGCGACCAGATGGTTGCACAAGCACATGTCTGCCAATGTGACCACATGAATGACGATGGTCGGTATCAGAGAGTACCCCACTTTAAGGGGTTGTGATTATGGTACGGAAATATTGAACTATCAGATTGCGGATGCCACCAAAAAGCAAACTATATAAATATCAAGAGGGGAGGGAGAGATTATTTTCAAGTAACATAAAACAAAAAAACAAAACAAAAACAAAAAAAACGAAAAAGCATTCCAGCAAAAGTATATATATATAAAAAAAAATCTAAACAAAAAAAAAAGTCTTCCAAGAAAATGTAGCTGTGTGAGTGAAATGGTCTAAGAAAGTTTACTTGGGTTTTTTTTTTTATACGTTAATGGTTGACTCCAATACAGCGTGTGCCACACTGATGTTTCAAACTTTGTTGAGCTTTGTTTAACTTTTTATTGAAAGAATATTATTCTTATCTTATTTTTATGCAGGTGCTGTTCAGGTGGAACGTTTTCCCTTTTTATAGTTTTGTTACTTTATTAATGTTGATTTAAATGCTGTAAAGAGCGAGAAGAGTGTATTTGAATGTGACCGGAGTTAGGGGGAGAAAGGAAGGATTAAAACGAAGGAAGGAAAAAAGACGGAGTCATATAATCTGTACAGATCTGATGTTTTACTGTTTTTGTTCTTGCGTTGGAAATGTCTTCAGGGTTGTTTAAACTCCCCTTTTCTCTCAGAAAACATTGGTGGCTTGATCGTTTTAGTAAGACGCAACAATTTTTGCCAAAGTGCGCTCGTTTCTAAAGTCGAATGCACTGCGGTGTCTGGTAGTGCTGATCGTGAATAAGCTTTAGCCTTTCCCATGCCAATTCATAAGACACAGCATACTTGGTTGAGCTGAGCACAGACCACCATCATTCCCTCTCCGAGGTGCAGAAAGCATTTGAGTCCAGACGTCTGGATTCAGATTGTCTTCATAAATTCTGCAAGCATTAGTGTCACCAATGGAAGTTCAAATCACCCAAGCATATGATCCTGTTGAATGTTTTCAGAGTGTCGCCCGTTCTGTCGTGTTGCTCTGAGATGCTTTGAGAAACCTAATGGCAGTCCTTGGTTTTGAAGGGCCCATTATGCTGATTATTATGACACCGATTGTAACCTTAATTGATTTTTTGTCTTTCTTTCTTTAAGAATCTTTTTACAGATGCATCTTTGTGGGTTTTTTATGTCTTATAGTAAGACTTGAATTCTATGTGCAGCGGTTTCCTCATGTTTTGTTCAGGAAGCTTCTTTTGCTACGATGTACAAATGGCAAACACAAATTTTCATAAACTGAGATTTAAAGCAATCTTTGGTCTGGAAAGTTCCACTTCCACCACTTCTGTTCAGTATTTTATCTTTCTCCTTGGCTTTGGTATATTGCAGGTATCCCAAGTGTTTGGGTTTGTATTTTCTGAAGAGTCTGTGGCGCTTGGCTGGTCCTCTAAAGCCTGTGTGCCTCTGACAAAAGATTCACCACTCTTTTACCCATAATATAGTTATGGGTTGCCTTGTATTAACAGATCTGACTTGGATTCTCAAAAAAAAATTGGGGGGATGACGGATGTAGAAAGTTCTCATTCAATGTTCCTGTTTTACACAGCCCAATATTAGCCATTACAAACAAGTATCTTAATATGAAGTTCCTTTGTTTTCTTTTTCCCCCAACCCAAAGATTATTGGGATTAAAGTATTCAGGTGCACAATTGTTGGGTTTTTTTATTATAAATTTTTTTTTTCCAATCTAATGTGATCCTCTAGTCTGAAGGCTATTGTTTTTGGGGTGTTGTCAGCAACGCTTATTAAGAGCACTGTTTGTCCATTTCCAAATTCCAAACTTTGTCCAAAATAATAATTGGGGGAAATCTGAAATGGGGTCTCATTTGGGGCAACAGGTATTGATTTAAAAAGCACTTTACTGTACCATGTGGTTGACTGCAGTTCACTCAAAGCTACATTTATGACTGTTGTGACAGAATTTTGTATTGTTTTGTACAAAACAAACCAACAAAAACGCAATAAAATGCTTTAAACAATGTTCTTGTCTTGTCTTGTGTTTCTGTAAAGCTGAACTTTATCAATCCCACCTCTGCCTGTGTTCACACAGAATCAGGAGCCTCGTATCACATGCTGATACCGCAAACATTGACACTTCTAATAATGATCAATCTCTTGGAAAAGGTTTTCAAAATGACTGATCCTGTTGACATAATCGCACATGTCGCTATCACCTGAGCATGAGTCACATGGTGCATCACCTTACTAAGTCAACATGGCTAGAACTGCAGTAGAGCAGTGCTGATTTTTTTTTACTTGAACTTTACAGGGCCAGATGCTTCTTTAGAGAGTCTGGTGCAAACACTAAAAGTTAGCCAGCACTACGGTTGCCATGGATATCTCAGAGCAGCTTAACAGCCTACTGTAAAAGTGTGGGTTGAACACGTGGAGAGAGTGAGTCAACAAACTGTTTGAATCACACTATTGCGCGTCCTCAGATTCACAAGTGAGCATAAACTGAGGGCCATTATAATTTTGTTGGTATATATTAACATTATTGATATAATCAGAACTTATTTATTTATAGCATACTTATCAAAGTACTAAAATGGACTAAGTACTAAAAATGTGAAATGCGAAAATTTATATTTTAGGTGCTGTTTTCAACCATTTTAATTGAGTTTTTAGGTTAAATGGCCCTGCAGTGTGACAAATTAATTTTCTAAACAAATATTTACTTACAATATGTAATGTAGTCTGTAAATTAAAATGAGACTGTAAAAAAAACTGCATGTAGAATAATTAGAAAATTGTTGAGTGAGATGGCATTTAGGTGTGTGTGCAATAATAATAGCAACAATAAGTTATTCTATTATTATTATTATTATTATTAAAAATAACCAAAAATGCACGGTCATGTTCACACACACACACACACGACAGTGACATGACTGCATTTTTAGTTATTTTTAATATTATTACAAATAACCACAATGCAGTCTCTCATGTTTTGCACTATGATAATAGAGGTTCATACCGCTTCATACCTATTACGTACTATGGTATGTCTCCATCTAGTGTTAGATGAGCACTTTCTTTCACCAATGACCAATTCTCTCTCATTGGATACTGGAGACTGTCGGAGGTAATTATCCTGTCACTTAAGATATGTTAAGTGTTTAAAAATGTAAGCAATTTACCAATGATAAATCAGGATTTGAATTGGATTCAGATTATACCCTGTTTCTAATAGGCTGAGAAGTCCTGCTAATTAAGAGTTGGAATGGCATTCAGGTGTGCACACTTTTATAAAAGTGAGACCAAAAGTATTACAAGAAGGTTTGGAGTTTGGAAAACTAAGAAGAAAAAAAAAAAAAAAGAAGGAATTCTGTGTTGGTTAGTATCTGAATGAGGGGTGTTTGTGGATTATATTTGCACTTTGCTTTTGCCTTTGATTCAAATTATAATTCAAATTATACCCTGTTTCTAATAGGCTGAGAAGTCCTGCTAATTAAGAGTTGGAATGGCATTCAGGTGTGCACACTTTTATAAAAGTGAGACCAAAAGTATTTCAAGAGTTTGGAAAAGAAAAAAGAAAAAAAAAAAAGAAAGGAATTCCATGTTTGTTAGTATCTGAATGAGGGGTGTTTGTGTTTTATTTGCACTTTGCTTTTGCCTTCGTTATTGGACTCACTTGCAAATGTGTAATTGAATGCATAAGGGTGAGTATTGTTTCACTGTTAACTGATTTATTTTATTCTATTTATTTTTAAACTTTTTAGAATGTATTCCTCCTAGAGCTCCTACAAAATGCAAGAAGTGTTCTGAATTCAGTCATCATCCTGCTGAGAAGGGGGAAAAACTACTTAAAACCAAGCTTAGATGGTTTAAGACTTTGATTGGTCCTTGTGTTAAACTGGTCCAGAAAAATAGAAATTAAAAAATAGAGAATCTGGACAATGTAACCATCTGTTTAATTACTGTTGTCCAAATTAAGGGATCTACTACTTGACTTTTAGAATAAACCAGATGGGTTTTTTTCCAGCTTGGTGCAGACGGAAGAAGCTCAACTGGGGATGAACAAATTGAGTGGCATTTTCAATTTCTAAAATTAAAGCTATTTTGTGTGTCGTGTCAGTTATTATGAACTCTTCTCAATGTGTGCACTTCTTCACACTCAACTGCCCTATAAAATGACATTGATATTCCGCCACAGTCATAAACCTTCATTAATGGGCATACTGTTGCACTTAACTCGCAGAGAAACTCAAATTATTCATTTAAAAGATAAAGATACTAAAGGCTTAAAAATAAAGTCTAAAGTAACGTGTTTAAAACACACTCATTTAAAATAAAGCAACTGCTTTATTACAGAATGCAGA